AAACCCTGTCTCGAAAAACTAAAAAAAAAAAAAAAAAAACAGCTGCAACATCTTGCTCAAGCCTAGCCAATTCCAAGACTCAAACAGCACAGTGAGAACCTCTGACCCAGAAGGGAGTATTGGTGAACACAATAGATTCTTTTCCTTCCTTTAAACAGCACACCCAAGGGCTTGTCATTGTGCAGTCTTGTACAAAAAAATGAGACATTTATAAGCTTAAAGAGTTTAAAAATCAAAGACTATAACAGGCCAATTTGTAGCTTAGAATATAAAACACTACTGTTTGGTCTTTCATTGAAAAAAGTTTCAAAATTCATGTTTGAAGGTGTATTTTTTTTTTAGCATCTCTTGGGGTCTGGTGAATAAGCCAGTGATAACGCAACACACTGCACAAGCATGAGGACCTAGGCTGACACGCATGACGTTCCAACCCCGCACTGGGGAAGGGATGGAGCAGACGCAGGAGCATCCCAGGGCTCAGGGGTCAGAGGCCAGAGCATGAAGCTCCAGGCTCAATGAGAGATACTACCTCCAAAGAGAAGGTGCAGAGACAGACAGACCTCAACAGCAATCTTCCACCTCCAGGACGTACACACACGGGAAAGTGCAGGCACACACACAAACATGCGCACACAGGGTGAGGAGAGAAGGATTTCTATAAACTAGCCTTCTCAAACCTGCCATTCAGGGATTTTTAAGCCACTTTGTCACCAAATATTGATCATATGTCCAATCATATACCTTTAAAAAATAAGTGCTCCCTTTAGTCACATAATAAAGAAATATTATCTCATAGTGCAGGAAAGTAAAGAAGGACTGGAGGCAAAAGCCATTAGTGTATTATAAAACAAAGGATATTTAAAGGTCACTCTTCAAATAATCTTTGTGTAAATATGAAATAAAAGGTTATTTTCACAAAAAATAATCAAAGAATGGGGACAAAGTTCAGTGTTGAAGACAAAATGGCAAGCTACACTATTTAAGAGAACAAAGAGCTTTTAGAGTATCACGTGCAGTGATGTGATCTCATGAACACCCACGCAGCACTTAACGGACAGGAGGGAAAGGGCTTTATTTAGCAGCCGTATCTGTGTGATTATCGTTACAGCTGGCGAGGAGGCTACAGAAAGTCTGGGACAACCACAGGAATTCAAAGTGCTAGAGATAAGAATCTTTAAAATGTCTTTATAGTTTTACGAACCAGGAGATTATGCAGAAATTGATACACCGTGCTACTGACACAGGCAGCGATAAACAGTGAAAGAATTTCACTGGCCCAGTTAATGTGTTAAAAGATTAAAAACAAGAGCCAATTCTTTAACAGATACTGAGGAGTCCTGGAAGTGATCTGGGGCATTTGCTATCAGAGAGAGAGAGAGAGAGAGAGAGAGAGAGAGAGAGAGAGAGTCTGTGAAGAAGCACGTAACTCTAAGGCCATGTGGAAACAACCACACACACCTGTGGTAGGGGATGGACGGGCAGAGGCAGCATCAAACAGAAACAGCCAGCCACGTCTGCAGATGACCGACGCATGCTAGGCTAAGTAGCCCAGAGCTGTCAGAGTGCACGGATGTGGGTGTGAACGGAGTGCAGACCAGCAGAGAGTCGCGGGGACACATGGAGACTAGACTAATTGAATCTGGAAACTAGGAATGTGCCATCTGACAAAACAACATAGAAAGAATTGATTCCAAAGGTCTTAGAGTTCAGAGATTTGGGGATCTATGGTGATGCAGACATGGAGTTGTGGGGGGCACCGTGGAACAGGCTGTTCAGTGCAGGAGGCACAGAGTGAGCCGGAGAAGAAACAAGTGTCACAGCCTCTCTGCTCTGGACCGCCTCCTCCCATTGGTCCACCTTTGGAAGTTGCCACGCCTCCGAAAAGTCCATCAGGTGGAACGACTAGGTCAGACCCCTCTCTGTGATTAGATCCCGGTGGGAAGCAAGCCTTCGACTTAGCCTTTTTAGACAACATTACACATTAGAGGGCTAAGGTGAGGCGGGAACAGAGCACCCAGGAAAGCCTGGAACAGCAGATTTATGCAGGACGGCTAGGGGAACAGACAGGATTTTGACATGCTGAGTGTCAGATGTGCTTTATGCAAATAAAAATGCCTATTTTTACTTTAGGAATCTATTTTAATAAAATAATCTGATTTATGAAATCAGAACTTACTTGTGCTCCATTATGTTCAGAATTAAAGATGTTCTTATTAAAGAATCAGAACATAACCTGAATGTTTAAAAAAAGCACAGCGATTTAAATAACACAATGCTTTACATTCCATTAGACGGCAGGAAAGGTAAAGAAATCTCAAGTACTTTAGGCAGTTTGATGATTCTCTTTTAAAAATCAGGATCCAACTGAGCATGGTGCACACTATAATCCCTACCCTGCGGAGGCTGAAGCAGCAGGATTGCAAGTCTGAGGTCAGCCTGGCCTCCCTGAGCAAGTTCAAAGCCAGCCTGGCCTAGTGAGCAAGTCTGAGGCCAGCCTGGCCTCCCTGAGCAAGTTTAAGGCCAGCTTGGGCAATACGGCAAGTGCTCTGAATTTTGTCATGGAAATGTAATCTGGCCCTTCTTGGGGGCTTCACCCCCTGACTCCCTGTGCTGATAAAATTTTTTATTGTGATTAATTTTAATTTCAAATGTATTTTTAGTAAAAGGAAAAGTACACCATGCTGCTGATAATCATATCTATTCTCAACAGGACACGGTGGAAGACAGTAGGGTGGGTTAGAGGCATTCGTCCTCTCCAGTAGGCAAAAGATGAATGTGAGTACACGGAAGAGGCTGCGTGGACCAAGATAAGATGAGGAAAGCAACAGAGAAAAAGGGAGGGTCCAACACCAGCACAGCTGCCTGGTGCACACGTATGTCCCGGGAGGGCAGGGGCCACAGTGGGAGCAGCGGTCCCTGGCCAGGGGAGTGAACAGTTTTTGTCTAGAGAGCCTGTCACCTTCTCAACTCATCCTTATATAGTAATAAAGGAAAACACTGTGTGTGCCCCAAGAATGATCATCACTATTCATGGCTAAGCCATGTCTGGATAATTGGAAACACCTGATAAGTCAATGGATTTCTCCTGGCTCCCACAACTGAGGCAGACATTGAGTGAGGGAGTGAGGAACGCCTCCACTCCTAGCTCCTCTCTCCACCTCCAGGACTCCTACTCAACCTTCAGATGTCCGCTCACGCGTTGCGCAATGCTCCAGACCGTCTGCCAACTCCTTTTCTGCTCTGACAGTGCTAGTCTTCATTTAAACACACAGTCTGTACTGAGAAGCGGCTAATCCGTTCTTTACAGTGCAAACAGCAAGCACCGAGAAATCAGGCTGGTGTGCTCTCTGAGCACCACCATGAACACACCCCGCGGCTTCGGTAATGCTCGGTGCGCACCAGTCACCTTGAAGCATTTATGAAATGAATGAAGTCAGCTTAATTTATCTGTTTGCCCTCATGACTTGTTTGGCTTCCCGTACATATCTGAATCTCCCAGGAGGGCAGGTACTCAGCTCGCCAGTCTAAAGCCTAAGGGTTACACACAGGTCAGCTGGGATCCCATGAAGGCAGTACCGCCTTCTCTTATTAGCTCCTCCCTTGATTGACACTGGAATAGCCACCTTGCCATCCACCTTGCTTTCTCTGGGTAATCTTCAGGATCAAGCTTAGGCACCATCTCTCTGTAAGCCTTTGCTATCCCTGTTTCAGACCAGATGGCGTGCTTCTCTACCCCTGGGCTGAAACATGGCCTGTCATGAGACTTACCACTATTGAGTCCTGAGTGTTTCTGCTGTCACACTAAAGAAGTGAAGTCAGGGATCGAGACAGCTATAAGTATTTGGAAGTGCTATATGCATTTCCGCCACACCTAATGCTCCCCACAATCCTGGCTATCTAGGTATCTATGTATTAATGCACACCCACTTGGTCTCTGCTGCATGAGCACACTGAGGGTCCATTGCACAAACAACAGATTTGTCTAGATCATTTCATGAAGTAGAAACTGCTAAAGGAGCTGAATTTGCTGCTGTCAAGTCGTGGGTTACCTTTTTATAATAATATGCTCAAACAACTTCAATGATATGCAGCTACTGAAAAGCCAAGGCACTGGTGCCAATCACTTACCAGGAGCATCAGCATGAAGGACCCCATATAGATGATCAGGAAAAACAGGGAGATCATGGTCAGGGTGAGAATGCCTCGGATCCACCAGTTCTTCCATCTACAGAGAGAAGTCCATAAAGTTGGGATTTAATAACGTGATTTTAAACTTTTGGTATGTGTGGTTTGAACACAATTCCCAGAATTAGGAATTTCTCCTAACTGTTCTTTAAGAATACCTTATTTCAGCTGGGTGGTGGTGGTGCATGCCGTTAATCCCAGCACTGTGGCAGAGACAGGAAGATCCCTGTAAATTGTAGGTCAGCCTGGTCTACAAAAGTGAGTTCCAGGACAGGTCCAAAGCCACAGAGAAACAAACAAACAAAAACAAACAAACAAAAAAAGATAAAGAAAAAAAAAAAAAAAAAACAA